TTCCGCACGCCGGCCGTCATCTTCAGTGCCATCGTGGCCCTCTACTTGGGCTCGGGCCTCACTGGCTTCATGGGGCTGGATGTGGCTGCCCAGCTCTGCAACTGTGTGGTAGGGCTGCTGCTAATCGCCCTGCTGGCCTGGGGCTACATCCGTTACTCAGGCCAGTACCGGGACCTGGGCGTGGTCATCGACACTACCGCCGACTTCGTCTTGGAGCAGGTGGGCAGCACTGGGGATGGGGGGGCACTGGGTAGGCATGGCAGGGGGACACAAGAAATGGGGGATGCCTGGGATGAGGCAGACTAGGCCTGGTTGGTATGGGTGGTGTGGGAGGTGGGTAGTAGCTGTTTAAAGGGAAGGTGGAATTGGTGAGCCAGGGAACAGGCTGGTCCTTAGGGACTCATAAGGCTCAGCCCCACTGATAACGTGGAGACAATGCAGTGTGGCTGAGGTACTGCAGGGTGCAGTACTGCCTGCTGCCCTGGCGGGGCTGGGCTGGGCCGGAGTTGGAGATCCCTGCAGAGACCTTTCCAGCACTGGGAACGTGGCCCCTTTGACCTCCCCCAGAGCAGGTGAACTAGGAATTTGGCTCACACACGCAGCAGCCGTTTCACCCATTAGCCAAGGCGCTTTGGTGCGTATTGGGACTTTCCAACCACCCCCACCAACCAATCTCTCTCCTGCATCTTTTCTCCAGGCCACTTCCCGCATGGGCAACACCACCCGGGCCGCTGTAGCTGACACGTCGGGTGCAAGGGCTCCGCCTGACAAGAAAACCCAGTGAAGCGTTCATGCCAAGGCTGAGTTGGGGCTTTGCAAAGTCCTGTGCTCCTGCTGCAGCTGCTGCTGGCTGGGAGCGACTCCAGGCCCACAGATCTCGACTCCTCTCTTCTTTCATTCCTGTTCCTTTCCCCCTTCATCTTTCCTTCGCTTCCCCCGTTCTTTTTATTTTTTTTTCCCTTTAAAAAAAAAAAGACCAACTCCTGCTTTAACCTCTGACCTGTGCCAGCCAGTGCCTTGTCACCGGGATGGGGCATCCTCCCCACCGGACTCACATTCCTGCTCCTGGGAGCGGCCCCTGGACTGGAGACCACGTCTGGATCCCGGCTCCTTAATGGTTATTTCTCATCGCATGGGATTGGCTCCCCTTCAGCAGGGGGCATGGGCAGGTGCTGTTGTACAATCCCAGGCTCCCCCCTCACTTCCTGCTCCGACCCGGGAGGTGCAGATGCTTTGGTGTCTTCCCTCCAGCCCAGCGGAAGGGATGGGTCCTCAAGGCCTGAGCAGAGTAACCGTCGCTGTTCCTCATTTTCCCTCCCTGCCCCTTGTGCCTTGGTAGAACTGAACCGTGTCGTTGGGTCTCATGGAGAAGAGGGGAACCTCCCTCGACCAGCTGCTGCCTTAGGGTGTGGTGGGAATGGTACCAAAAAATACAGAGACACCTCCACCCTTCCCCGTGCCAGAGAGAGCCTTCAGCCCACAGCATGCTGCCCAGCCCTAGCTAACATTGGCCAAGGGCCAGCGAGCCCCATGGCATGATTCTTGCGCTGTGCCGCCAGCCAGCCTGGGCTCCTTAGGCAGGGCCAACACTGCTTCTAGAAGTGCGACCCACCCGTGGGCCCCTGCCTGCATTGAGAGAGACTCCTAGCCTGTGTCTCTGGGGTGGACCAGCGTGGTCCATTTAATCTCCAGCCACACTTTCCCCCATCCAGTGTTAACACCCCTCACCACCACCACTGCTTTCGGCTTTGGGGCAAAACGGGGCTCTCCGCTCATGGGAGATATGCCCAGGGGCTCCTTTGTGCCGACAAACCCAGTCCTAACCGGCAGCTGTGTGCTGTGGCTCGGTCCTGTGTGGGGTACCAGTTAAAATGCAGTCCTGCCCATGTGGGGGTGGATGTCCTACTTAGCGCCACGCGGGAGCCCCCTTTGCTAACGTCTCTTGCTGAGTGACCAATCATCTTAGCCCTTTTGAGTAGGGAACTTTTGCCATTGGGGCATCACGCTGCAAAATCCTTAGCCTCTTATTGGATTGTCTGGTTTCCCCTCGCCGGGACCTCCGACACCATTCGTCAGCCAAGCAGGTCGTGGCCTCCCCTCTCCACTGGTATCTGGCTGGGGTCACTTGGGCAGTGCCAGGATCTGTGATCCGAACCAGGGGACCAGATGCCACCCATTCCCTGCCCAGTCTGACCCCAGCCCCTCAACCCATCCCAACCCTGAAGCACTCACACATTCCCGCTCATGTAAAGCACAAGAATAAAGCTCATTCCATTTCGTGATCACAGTGCCTCATTTGGGGGGGGGGGGGGGAAGAGGGAGAGAGGTACAACCTTTCCCTGGGAGGCTGAACCCTCACCAAAATCCTCACCAGTGTCCTGCCTCCTTTGGTGGGCCTGGATTGGTGTTGCAGGCATCTGTTTGCGGGGGATGTAGAACTGCCCTAGTTCCCTTTGAAATCCCCAGCCCAGGAGCCATATATGTTTCAGGTCACATTAATGTTGCTCATTTCAAGCCTACAATCTTCCACTTTCTCCCTCTTGAGCCATTCCCTGGTGCCCCAGGCTGGTTCCGACCGGGCATCCCCCTGAAGATGCCCTTCTAACTGGCCCCCTGTGGAAGCCATTGGGTGCCTGGATTTCAAGGCTCAAGAGAAGGGGCGAGTACATGGTAGGGGTGTGTGAAATCTGCAAAGGCTTTGAAGAAGGTTGGAGTGAAACTTAGCTAAGAGGGACCAACTGGCATCAAGATTCTTTTGGCGTGGATGGATGATTATGTGGTCAGATTTTCCCCCTTTGTGCTAGCTTTGGAAAATTCCTCTCCCAGTGTAAGAATTACCTGTGGCTTTCAAACTGGTCGCATGAAAAGCTTGCGGGCGGGGGGGGAGGAGTGCCTTCTCCAGATGTTAAAAGAAAAGCCACTGTTCTCTGAGAGTGCCCCAATAAAGCCAGGCCCCTTCAATTCTCGGCTCTGCAATGTCATCTTTCAGTTTCCATTCAGCCTGTCAGGCCACCACATGACCAGCTCTGTGTTACTTCCTTCAGCAGGGGTGCAGCATGGTGAGGCCGCTGTCTCAAGCTAATGCTTGCTTCTGTCCATACAATAGCAGTAGATTTTAAATTCTTGGCACCCTGTGAGGCAGAATGTCCTGTTCCCATTTTACAGATGGGGCCACTGAGGCACAGGGGAGCAATGTGGCCTAGTGGATAGAGTGCTGGACTGGGAGGCAGGATATTTGCTTTCTAGGCCAGATTTTGCCACTAGCCTGCTGGGTGAGCTAGGTTAAGTCACTGTCTCCCCATTTTTCCATCTGTAAAATGGGGATAATGAGAATGACCTGAATAAAGTGCTTTGAGATCTATGGATGAAAAGTGCTTGAGATGATCTAGGGATTGGTATTATAAGCAGATCCAGAAGCTGAAGCTAGACAAATTCAGGCTAGAAATAAGGCTTTTTTAAAAAAAGATTGGCTGTGATTAACCATTGGTGTCTTTTGGGTCATGGTGGCTTTTCCATCTCATGGAGTGTTTGACTTGAGACACTAGCTCTTTAAAAGCTATGGGTAGGCTTTGATTTAGAAATCCCTGGGTGAGGTTCTTTGACCTGTGCTGTGCAGGAAGTCAGGCTAGATCTTCTGGCCTGAAAAATCCAGGAATCAAACAATGTGGGTGTCAGTTAGTCCATGAATTCAGTGTATGCAGGGGGGCTATGGCTGCCCATCACCATAGTAGCTGGGCACCTTCCCTGTAAAAATGAATAGTGAAGCCCAGACTGGCTTTTCCTGGAATCTCTGCTGCTCCTTTTCCCCTCAATCCCTGAAGGCCCCCATTGAAGGTGGGGGTGATTACAATAACAATTTTACCCCAGATTCCTGCTATGCCCCATCACAGGAATGGGGGCATGGGGGGGTTCCCTGGCCCCTGGTGTCCCTGTCATTTACAGATCTGCAATGTGAGCCTGGGGTTGCATTCCTGGAATTTAAATCCAGATGGGACCATGGGAGCATCTTCTAGTCTGACCCAGGCCTGAGCCTCACCCAGGTTGCCCTGGGCTGAGCCCCATGACTTGTGTCTGACTAACGCGTCTCGTGATTGGCTCCGGGGTGCGGGGGCAGCCGGCTGCCCTGCTCCCTCCCACAGCCTGGAGCAGGGCCCAGGCGCCGGATCAGCTGGTCCCAGCGCCGTGCTGGGAGGAGCCAGTTTGACCCACGCCCTGCGCTGTTGACAAGCTTGAGTCCCGCCGCGTTCGCCCCCCTCGGCCTCATGACGCACCCGTGGAGCGGAGCGCTGGGCCCGGGACCCGCTGCCGCGCGCCCCGGAGGAGAGGTTTGTTGGGGGCTTGGCTGAAAATGTGCCTGTGACCCGTCCCCTCACCCCCCCGGGCCCCGCCCCGGTATCAGTCCCTGCTGCCCTGGGACCTACCTTCCCCCGGCTCCCAGCGCCTCCTCATCCCTTGGATCTGCCCCCCCGCCCCGGCTCCCAGCGCCCCGCTGCCCCTGGGCTCCCAGTGCTCTTCCATCCCTTGGATG